AAAAAAAAAAAAAAAAAAAAAAAAAAAAAAAAAAAAAAAAAAAAAAAAAAAAAAAAAAGACTGATATTACGTTGGGAAAGTAAATTTGAGTTTGCTAGCAACAAACATTGTTATTATGTACGCCAGGTGCCAACAAAATTTTAATTAAACTTTCGTTGATTAAATAACTTTCATCGGTTACGCGAGAAATTCGACAACACGTGTATATATACTGCCAAACAGGGTCACGCATCCTATATTTGTAATATTGGCACGATACACAAATTACTCACCCAATGGAAATTAAATCTGGCCAGTATTAAATTTTCCCTTTCTTTCTGTTACAGGTTGGATGACAAGAAATTGGAGCTCATCAACGTAAGTACCAAATTATTGGTAAATAATTATTGATCAAACTATTGATATTAGCAGTTACCTGTGATCACTGTGTCTATGGCTTCAATTGCTATATGTATAATGGGCGGGTCAAAGAGTAGTTGCCGAGATAGGACTGGCGCACGGCTCACCGAAAGCAGGAGTAACTTTCATCGATGATGCCAGGCGCTATAGTGCAGTGGTCAGGTGCACGCAAAGCTACTCAAAAGCCTCGAATCATCAGCACCATCTTTTTTTCGACTACTGTTCTGCTCCGCTTTGCTTTGACGGGATAATTGCGCTCGGCTCGCTCCTCTTTTTCCCTTTTCCCACCCATCCATCCCGATGCAGCGCAAACTATTTAAAACTGCGTTTCAACGTAAATTCTTACAAATTCAGCACGATTTTAGCCACAAAAAAAAGATACTTGGCTCAATCGTCCAATCGTGCCGAATCATCTAGTTACTTCGAGCTCGAGGTATAGTAATAAAATACGGAGGAAATACCCGCTGGGAGGGGGGAGGGGAGTTTTGCGTCGAGTATTAAATTCCCTTCCCCGCGAGCTGCTCTAATTGTAACTTCAAAGAAAACCGCGTTTTCTAGAAATTCAGTTTTGCGCTATACATGACGAACGGGGCCGCAAAGTAAAGCCTTACCCTCTCACTGGCTCTTTTGACACGGAGAACAAGAGAAACAGGGAAGACGAGAGCCTCGGGTCACGCTAAAACCGCTGCGTTAACTCGCGGTGGTGATTTTCGTATCGTTATTTTTAGTGGAAATTCCTTCAAGGTTGGCGCCTACTTTACAGCGATATACATCCCTTTGGCTATATACCTAAAATTTCATGGCTCGAACCTAAGAGATGTATCATCAGGCGTGAAATTCTAAAAAATAAAAGTCCCCGGTTACGCGTGGGTTGCTCGAAATTCCTCGACGCGCCGCTCAACCCCAGTTTATCTCGGAGCGCCTCGGGCAAGATAGACTATCGCCCTCGGAGAGAATGGCCCAATCTCGTGTCCGAGGAGGCGGCGAAGATTAGTGCGCGCAGGATGCGCCGGGAAATTTGTCAGTAGGACCGGGAAGAGGGGGACCCGCGCTCGTCTCCGGGGTGCCCTATTAGTGAATTATCCACGTATACGGCTGTGTCCCCCGGGGACCTCCTCCACTAATAAGATCTTTCACCCCCCCCTCACCCTCGCCCTTGATTCGATCTCCTGTCTCCCTTGGTCGTCGTTTTATTTTGCAAATCCTGCTCGCTCTCCTGCGCCCAACCCTCGTTTTATACAGGTATCTCACGCCTCGTTGCTTTTGGTTGACGAAAACACCGGGTAGTTTCATCACTGCCGAGTCTCGGTTGCTGGAATGCATTAACATTTGAAATGAAGTAACATTTTGACACGATTTACAATTTTTCATATACATCTTCTTTCGGCCACGTATGTAAACTTTTAAAAGCCGCCGATTAGCCGGACCATCGACCAGTTGTTTTAAAACCCATGATTGAATAATTCGCTCGTTTGGCCGCTCTCATTGGATTAAATCCCGGCTAAAGCACAGAAAGGCCGCTCCGTGTGGCATATACTTTCGACTAGGCATTATTTGTTCACACGCGCGTACACGAGGCGCAGTCGATAAATCGCCCGTACGCGTGTGTACAAACTTTGAAAGCTTGGCAAAAGCCGACGTGCCAATTAATCGCGTAAAAGAGTGAGAGCTACTCTCGACCGCCGCCGTTGTCTATTATCGTCTATTCAAGTTGTAAATGCACTTCCGCGGATGAAATTACCGCAGCTTGAGCCATCGATGTAACCGTACACGCCAGTATCGACATCTCGCTTATCGGAAAATATATTGTTTATCCGTTCGTTGTTTCACTCGTTGTATAGTCTTTGCTTCATCCGGAGTGATGGCGCATCGACAGTGGCAAGCGTTATTTCAACGAATGCGCGTCCTTCATGTGGATTCCACCAGCAGTGGACGCAACTTGACCAACACACGTAAATCAACAGACGAGCGAATGTATAAAACTAACGTGTAGAAGAGGGAAGGTTCAAACAAAGGCCTCATTAATGAAACATCAAAAGCTTCGCGAGCAGAAGAGAAGGGGAAAAAAGGGGTCATCGGTGGTGCTGGATTAACGATCTTTTGCTCAGCGACTATCACCACCTCGTCTCTTTCTCTCTCCCTTTCCTCACCACGTAACCTGCTTTATTCGAGCGTATGAATACAAGGTAGGTACACGTGGCCCTCGGGGCGTCTCGTTCGCTGACTTTGTTTCACCCTCTCTTTTTTGCCGATACCTACCAACAACTGTCGGCGCGTGCGACGTGTTTCGATCGAAGCACCAAACCGTTCAAACTTTTCCTCTGATCAAAGTTAATTCGTTCTCGTGTTTCACTTATTTTCGTCCGACCAGCTGTATGTGTTTAGGGATTTGTTTTACCCGCGGTGTGCGGCACTGGAAAAAGGTTGAAAAAAAAAAATTAGAGCCACGTTGTGTGTACATGGTTTTCCTTGCAATGCAGATTTCGCTGAGACGTCGAATGCAGCTTGCACCTTTTTTCCCGAGGAACTCTTGGATAATACAAATTTTCCGATACGAAGGAGACGTGCCTAAAAATGATAAATTCACCCTCTACCGAATGTATATGCTCGTATTACGAGCAATCGCGTATATATATATATATATATACGTGGTGTTGTCGTATTGTATACCTATCGAGGGAGAAAGCATTTGCGGAACAATGCAGAACGTCGATAGACTGCTTCCGCCGGCGTTTAAGAGCAAGCTCCCGCGATGGACGTGCATCTATTTCATCCGCAGCCACTTCTGCCTTCCTCTTCTCCCCTTTTGCGAGATAGGGTACTTCAGTCTCAGGCTATCCTCTTCATGGCTGGGCTGCTTGCAAGCTCGCAACCTTTACACATATACTCGCGTGGGTGTACGCCTAGTAGTTACACATACTTACACCGATACATACTTATCACTTACGCATGCAGGGGCAAGTGCGTCTTGTATTTATCAGGGACGTATGTGCCTATGTGTACCCCTACGTGCACGTGATCCGCATATACATAATCAAATGAGCCCTCGGTTTGGCTGCACAGCCGCGTGTAGGGTGCGTGCAAGCTCATACATACATACATACCTACAGTACCTACACACGTTTGTTGCTCTGTGTGTGTGTGTGTTGTCGTGCATTACATGGGAGAAGCGCCATGTCATATACATTAATTATCATGTGCACGCACGTGTATGTACATGTGTACCTATACCTTATACCATACCCATACAAATAGTGGGCTTGCGTCGTGTACAGCTCGAGGCATCCGAGACGAGCCGCACTGCTGTACCCACCTTATACTGCTGCGGGGGCACGGTAGCTTGGGATCGTGTTTAGTTGGTATAGCCAGGGGTAGGTGTACCTATATGTGCAAATATGCGTCCAAGTATGGTAAGTAGGTATATATATATACATGGGCACGTCAACCGATACATACATAATATACTGTTCAGTTGTATGTACCTATATTTGTATATACGTGCACCAACTTTCTCGCTAGCATCACGCGCAGTAATGGATGTGCGGTGAAAATGTACTCCACGTTTAATATCCGAGCCCGTTGAAAGATAACCCACTAGTTGTCATGCTGGCACTGTTGCCGTGTTGCATTGCTTCATCATCATTGTTCCCATGGTTTTAAAGAATATATTCTAATCGTTGATTTCAATATTTGTTTTATTGTTCTGCCGTTTGGTCGACACCGCGTAGCGCGATTAACGCTTCCTATACGTTATTGTATTATAACAATTTGTAGTTTTGAGGCGTACCGTTGTCGTGGCTGAGGCGGCAGATGGGCTATAATATAACAAAGTTCGTACGTGACGAGAATAAGGAAACTCCCCACCTACCCCCTTACCTCTCTTCCTGTTTTGCCGTCGAATTGCGTTTGATAACTTAAAGTCGATACGACAAGAGACATGAATACAACTGTACATGAACACAATATTAATCACGTTATCGCAAGTAAGTACAAATAACAAGAAATGGCACGATGGTTACCCGCGTAAAAATTTTTGCTTGGGCAATGAGAAAATCCCAAACTTGGATTTTCGTTGGAATATTTTACTCAAGTTTATCAAATGTTCTTCCAAACGTCTAAAAAATTAATTTGTTGCGTCAGGATATTAGTTGGTCTGCATTATATGACTTACGAAAAATATTGAATAAAATATTCTAACTAAAATTCAAATTTGGGATTTTCTCATTGCCCAAGCTTGGCCAAAGTTTGGCCGAACGTTGACCACATGAACTTTGGCAAAATTTTGGCCAAACGTAAAAATTTTTACGCGGGTAGGGTCATTTATATGCCTATAAATGGCTTTTGTTCCGCGATGGCTTCTTGGCGTTTTTTTTTTGCGAAGAGGCTATCCAATTCGAGACGAATATCTGCGAATGGCAGTCCAATTAAGCCGAACGTAAAGCTGCAGCCGCCTCTGGCAAGTTACCCGTGCCGAAATCGCGGGGTAGGTATAATTCCTTTCGCATCAGCGGTTCCATTGCCGGGTATCCTTTATCTCGAAGCTTACCTCCCGTCCCTTACCGCGCCAAAAGAGATAGCCCTCTCTCTCCCCGCGTGGCTGTGTCTCTTGTCTCTCGAACGCGAAATCTCGTCTCGGGAGCATTTTGTTCCACCTCGTCCGAGATGCGACGGACAATGAGCGACTGTTCAATTTTTTTTTTTTGTTTTTCCCTACTGTCAAAAAAAATGACAATAATCACAATGACGTTCGAAAGCGTATATACTCGCGGAATTTCGCGTAAATTGAGGCAATTTGACGAACCATTGTGCCAGTTAAATCGGTCCTACTTCATCTTTTCTTTAATCATTCCGGGCTTTCGTGTACTTTAATTAGCGGGGAATAAGGGCCGGGTATTTTAATTAACGACACCCTTTGTGTTTCGCCCAACCTTTGCTTTTTACAGTTCTCCCTCTCCGTGCCGTGTTGGTGGTTTTTTTTATTTATTTATTTTTTACATCTCTTCGTTTACCGAAATTTAGCTCGTTTGATTCGTCGAATGAAACACATTTTTTTTTCTTTTAACGCAACAAAAAAATGTTGCCTCTTTTTTTCTTTTTTACATCGTGAAAAAAGAGAGGAGATGGCTAATTAAAATTATCGGGTGAATATCTGAAATTGAAATCCGATAAGTTTTGAAAATGAAGCTCCCCCTCACCTCTATTATCCCGGCTTTCTCCGCTAGTGTATCCAGCGAGCGAAAGGGAGGAGCTGAAAATATTTTTTGCGGTGCATGAAAGCTCAATGGAAGAGCCCGGCGCAGTTCGATAAAATGAGGGCTCGATTAGTTGGGCCGAATCACTCGGCTGCAGTGTGTATACAGCCCCCGTAGCATCGGCAGCGAGCGAGCTATGAATAAAACGCTAGTTATCGAGATCGTGCGTCTATATATATACACATCCACTCCACGCGAGCGAGAGCCGAGAGGCTCATTTCGTCCAGCAGCGCCTCCACTGCTCTCTCGCCTGATTTATCCGAAAACTTTGCCCTTTGCCTCCATACCTCCCGCCTATCCCCAGCTGCCGGCCTCTTTCTTCCTCCGCCTCTCGTGCGGCCACCATCCTCTCATCCCCGCCTCCCCTTTCAACCACTCGATCCATCATTTTTTTTTTTTGGCTCGCTATCCTGTCGTACTTGGGTACTGGCCTACACTCGCACGGCCCACTCTTTCGACACCTTATTGGCTCCTTTTTTCCTTCGAGACGATGAAATGGTTATTTATACTACGCCTCTGGCCGTAAGTACCGCTTTATATACCATTTAGGGGTTCGATCTTATTTTGACCCAAAAACCGCGCACGACCCGCTCCACTGCACCCATTATAATTCCCAAGCGTACATAGCTGGACACGTGTACGTACGCGGGCGCGTTACGAAAACACCGACCATAGCACTCACGGGGGTTTATCCAACGGTGCAAAAGTGCGCGGAGGAAACCCGCCGCGCGACTCTTTTGCGTCCTTTATTCTTCCTCCCTCTCTTTTTTTTTTTTGCTCGTGCCTCGTAATTTTCAGCGGGTTACGCAGTTTTTCCCTCTCCCTCTCCGTTGCTTTTTTCCCCTTTCTTTTGCCCCCCCCCCCCCCAACCTCGTTTATGATTCCGCGTAAGCATATTTGCCCTGCCCCGTTAGGAACACGCAGTTAAACTTACTACTTTTCGCCTAAAAGCTCCTCCGCTCGCTTCCTTTTCCTCTACCGCGCGGATTTTATTTTTTTTTTAACGCTCCTACCTCTGTGAATATACTTTTTTTTGTTTACCCGGCTTGGTAATGCTTTGGTTTATTGCGTTGAATAATATTGTACACAAAAAAAAAAAAAAAAAACAAATAACAACCCGAAGCTTAATTAATTTTAATTTGCGCAGGGCTAAAAAGCTCCCTTCCTCTGTACTCATCCTTTCATTCCAGTGAATGTACCGAAGCATGTAAAATGTTTATTTGCATCTGTAAGTCGTTGCCATATTTTGGGATGGGTCGTGTGCGTTGTAATAATACCTACGTGGTACACGTTGTGCAATATGCAGCGACTATAGTGGTAAATAAAAAAAAAAAAAAAAAAAAAAAAAAAAAAAAAAAAAAAAAGACTGATATTACGTTGGGAAAGTAAATTTGAGTTTGCTAGCAACAAACAAACATTGTTATTATGTACGCCAGGTGCCAACAAAATTTTAATTAAACTTTCGTTGATTAAATAACTTTCATCGGTTACGCGAGAAATTCGACAACACGTGTATATATACTGCCAAACAGGGTCACGCATCCTATATTTGTAATATTGGCACGATACNAAAAAAAATAGAGAGCTTCCACGTCACTTGATTTGATTGGGACGCCCGTGAGCGAGCTTTTTTTTCATCAAACGGAATTGATCGATAAGCGAACGATTGGGGGCTCGAATGATTGGACCAGCGAGAGAAAGAGAGATGTTTGTTTTTGTCTTTCGTTGCTTTCGCTCTTTTCCAAACTGATTGTTGAGAGCTGGTTCCGCTGATGTTTGATTTAGGCTTTTCATTGCGCTGATGAACGTATTTTTTCGTATTAATAGAGCGACGCTTTAATGATTATCACATTGAATAATCGAGTGAAATTTTTTTCAGAACACCATCCTCCCGGAAGCCGTTCACTTTTGGGAGAGGGCCCTCATGGTCCGCGAAACGAAGAAGACCATACGCCTCAATAGGTCAGTACCACATTTTCTTGCTCTTTTATCAATCACATATCCACGTATGTATATTTTTATATCGTGATAAAAAAATCACTTCAAGCACACGTGTATGTATACTGTCAGGGTACAATATATACAATGGCGTACACGTGTGCACACTGTACCGGGGCTCTCGTGCGAATTCAATCATCCCTCGGAGGGGGTGAAAGCGTGGCGGAGAGCAAAAGCACCCCCGGTGGCACCGTAGCCATCGTCGCAGCTCGTTTCACTAAAACAAATGGCAAAGTTCGTGCAAAATCAATCTACCGAACAGAATGCATAATTAGACCAGCTCAAAGACAGTTGGGGCGGAGAGAGAGAGAGAGAGAGTTGGTTGTTCCGCTCCATCGTCGGTTAGCCGAGGAACTACGTATATATAATAGCCCCCGACCCCCCCTGTACGTCTGGGAGCAGTCGTACGGTGAAAACGCTCGATTCAGCGAAGACGTGAACGGAGAACGGAATTCCCAAGTAGTCTCGTCGCGCGACTAGAGCTTAAAGCTCACCCCCCCCCCCCGACTCTCGTCCGCATAGTATTACTGTATACAACACCACTGTAGTTTGCATCTAGTTTCCATGGAACGATTTATGTACTGCTGTGTATACATGTATACATCCCAACACGTACGCGACGATGCCCCTCTAACAAGCTACTCCGATGGCTCCAGACTTGCACTGTTCTCTCCTGCCGACTTTTCCATTTTAAATTGAGCCTCCTGGTGCCCCTTGTGGGGAGATACGACACCGTAATATATAATGTATCACTCCAGTGTTGGTAGGCAGGTATTAGGTAACAGAGAGTCTCTCATAGTAGTAGCAGCGCGTGATTCAGAATAAACATAATCTAATCGAGTCTTGCGCGTTTGCCAGGCCACACCAGCTGGCTCTAATTTGTATGCAAGCGCGTCGTACACGGAGAAAGGGGGGGGGGGAGGGTGGACAGGTAGGTACACTCGCGCATAAATCTCGGCACGCAACGCTTGCCGTCTCTGCGGTAATGAGGTCGGGCTTCCATCGCTGATGCACTATACATTCGTACATGATATAATGTGTATATAATATTATGTGGGGCGCGCAAGTAGATACAGTGGCGCTATGGTCAGACGCGAAGAAGGTGTAGGTATACAGGGTATATAGAGGTAGCAGGTGGACCACGGGAAACCTTAACCGAGTCAAAACAGCGCACGGTTTATCATCTTACCGCTTGGCTGGGTTTTCCCTTCTGCGTCCGTGGTTTCGCCGGCGCTGCTGGCTCTTGTCTGTTTTGATTGCAACTCTGTGCCCGGAGGATACGGAGAGCTGTACATGCTGATTCCCCCTCCTTGCTTTTGCGATAAAAATAATATTTTACCTACTGGTTGTTTATTTCTCGGCAATTTGCCGCCAGGAAAAATAAAAGAAAGGGACCCCGTGTACGGTAACGATTTTCCCTTGAAATATGATATTCGCCCCGACCGCCGAGCACCTAAATCACCACTGCAGACGTAGAATCGGTATATATGTATGTACCCACCGAACTTGATAAATAATCTTTTTATTCCCTCGTGAAAGCCATATTTCAGTGAGCTGTGGGTGCATTCCACGCGACCGAGTATTTGCCAGTTGGAGGCCCAATTTCGTGCAACAACGAGAGAAAAGACGTCACGCAAGCGCCAGCTCCTTCTCGGCCGTATATATATTTACACGCATCTTGCACCTGGAAAAACCTGCTCGCGCAATAAGTCAGGAACTTCCGGTCGCACGTAATTATTTATACATGCGATTAACATCAGCCCAGAGTATAGATGTTGGCTCGCGTGTGCCCCTGTTTGTCGCCCATTCGCCCGAGTTTTCTCTCTCTCTCTCGAGTCACCCTTCGCGGCAAGAAACCGGACATTCCGGACGCGCTGATGGAGAAAAACCACCCACCGGCGGGCCTTTGGATTCCACGCGCCCAGAGGACACGTGCGAATTCCCTGGGCGTTTGTGAGACATTTTTGTCGTCCAGCGACTCCTCCACGTGGCACCTCGAATGAAATCCCATGTTCGCTCAGGGGTGGACGTGGATCAACCGGCATCTGGAGTTTATCAATTAAAAGCGCTATTGGAAATACATCTCTTTTGACTCACCCGCGAAAAGAGGTGCCAAACACCACGACTAATTTGGTTTTTTAGGTGTAACGAACTTTGTATTTACCGTTCGCAGAGGAAGCCCTTACTCCACGTCGTGCTGATGATGCTGTACCAAGTTGTAGGGAGCCCCGGGTCTTTGTATGTTATGTATCCTTTGGACGTTTATGGGCGTGTAATGTTAATGCGTGTTGGCGCGTCGACCATTAGTCAAACAAATTGCGCGCTCGCACCCACACTTTGCAGCCACCAGCTTCCCTCCCGCGTGTGTTGATTATACGCTCCACAGATCGCTTTTGAGACAACGGATATAAGGGCACGGTATACTGCCATCGTGAGATTTACGAAATTCTTCGGTAGAAAAACCTGTACCAATACCGGGGCGATAAATCGAAATTCAATTTGCTCCGTCTGCGAATACGATTGCTTCGATTAGTCGTTAAGGGGGAAAACTCGGCGCTCGTATTCCGCCGGGAAACCACGTCGTAAAAGTCTGAAGAGAAAACGAATTATCCTCGAAAAATGCAGCCCCCCGGAAATTCAGGGCCGGAAAACTCGATCGACCCTTTAAACTCGGCCCGAGGATTGCCCCAATAATTTCCCGCTGTCGGAAAAAGAAGATAATAAGTCAGCGGCCCCTCGGATCGTTACTATACTTACATATCCGATGCGCTCCGTACCCATATACGTATAGGGTAGCGGAGCTAACCGTGCCCCACAGTTGGCCAACCGCGTGAAATGGGACGCGCTAATGCCAAATAAATTAACGCTTCTTGATTTTTCGGATGCGCGTTTCATTTTGCAGGGGATCGATGAAGCGGGTTCGAGGATTAATTGAAAACAAATGGCTACGTTGAGCTCTGGGGCGTATCTCGCGAGCCGGGCCATCCCCCCCGAAATTTCTTACTTTCATTAGGGATTATTGGCCTTTCCGAGGGTGATTCCAATCGACCGCTGGCTCAGAGTGCGATTCGCCAAGTTTATCACTTCCCCCCCCCCCGCCCCCCATTCTTGGCCGCTTTGAACTTTTTCATCAAAACTTTTCTACTCTTTGATTCTCGCGGTCTTTGGCGAAATCCTCCGCCGCTACCTTTCCGGCTAAGGACTTCTTCCTTTTTACTTTTCCGTGCTCGTGTTTTTCTCCCTCTTGACTTTTACCTGTATATAGCCCCGGGAGTTGCATTTGTTTCCGTGCCAAACTTATTTCACTTTACCTGAAATAATTCCCCCCCCCCCTTTGTCAACTCCCTCCTTCGAGCGGCAGAGATATTTTTATATTTACGTCCAGGTGTTGCTCTTTCATCCAAGTTATGGAGAAAAATCCTCCCCTTCGCGTTTACCTCGGTCGATAAACCGTATACTTCCTCATTTTACGGAGAGCCGTGATACGCGCCCTCCTCCCTTGTGTCCGCTTCGTGGAATTTCTTAACCCCTCTGCTACTCTCGCTCTCTGTTTTACGTTTTATCGTGAAAAATTTTGTCAATCTTTATCCTCGTCCCCCTCCTCGTTGAAAAATAAAAAGGGAAAAAGGAGTAGCGGTAATGGTGACAGTAAGTAGCAGCCCCCCCGACTCCCCCGAGGTATTTTTTCTCCCCCCGTGTTATGCCAGTAGCTCCTCGCAGCAGTCCAGTCGTTAAGTCAACTCCACCCCCCTCGCTCGGCGTCCCTTACTTTATTCCTTCTAGAGTACTGTATAGGTGTAGGTATGTATATATATACGCTAGTTTTACAGAAAACCACGAGTGCCGTCGGGCGGGGGGTGAAAAAAAAGGAAGCAGCGAAACAGGTGGAAATAGGAAGGAAGGAAGGAAGAAGTAAGGAAGTTCCAAAGTGCTTGGGAAATACTTTGCTTCGGCGAAGCGCGCTTATGTATTTTTGCTTTTTATTTGCCGGCGCCGGTATTTAAGGAGCTGCCCGCGTCCGATGCTTTTCTTTTTTTTCCCCACTCCCATCACGTGGGGTCGAGGAATTTCCTTCCCTCCGATGGGGGCGCAACGAGGTCAAGAACGCGCTCGCCCAGATATTAACTTTTCTCTCCGCGCTTGGGTGTATATATATAGCCATGTGGTACATATACCTCGGGGTGAGACTGGATTTTCAGCTTTTCGAGAGAAAGGACTTTTGTCCCGAGTAAATATTGGCCAATTTCTTAAATTATCCTCCCGCGTCGAGAAAAACAAAGTTTTCAGCCAAAGTCGCCCTTGCTTATACATACGTACACAGGGGGTTAGCGAAAAAAATACAGCCCAAGTTTCGCGGTGTGCGTTCTAGGGGTAAGGTTTGTTTGGAAACTATAGCGTCGATGTGGCGGAAACCGTTGGAGGGAAGTTTAGAGCACGCCCAGTTTCGTAAATTGAGCACCGTAAAATGCACCCTCCAACTTTTGCACCCGCTAACGCGCCGCAACAGTACATACGACGGTTATAATGTAGGGGCAGCAGTGTCCACGTCACGCGGATAATGTCTCCCGATGCTTTCCGGACTCGAATCGATTAATGGCCTACGTCTCCTCCTCCTCCTCTAGCCTTGTATAAATATATATATATAACAAACGAAAGTCTACTCTCAGCGAGGCAAGACAGACAGCTCAAACACGCGCCTTGAGTGCAAGCGTGTAGGTACATACACACACCCAAGTATGTGTACACGGCAGGGGTTATCGATCGGGCAAGAGCGTCAAACCTCTCGTTTCCAGCGCCCACTTCCCGAAAGACACCCGGGGTCGAGGGGAGGGTGAGGTTACAAGCGCTACAATGTGACACGCGAGGGGCTTGCAGGGGAGCGACTTGGTTCTCGAGAGCAGTGGCGCATCCCTTCCTCTGTCCTATAACCTCGAAAAAGTTGAAAACGCGCTCTCTTGTTCATA